GCCTAATGGAGCAGATCACTGTGAGAGACACACACACACACACACACACACACACACTACACTACACTACACTACACTACAGTTCTCTCACATGTGTCTGAACACTGTCTCTGCAGCTCCTGAAGAGTGAGGTGCGTCGACTCGAGCGCAATCAGGAGCGTGAGAAATCCGTGGCCAACCTGGAGTACCTTAAAAACGTGCTGCTGCAGTTCATCTTCCTGCGCTCCGGCAGCGAGCGGCAGGCTTTACTTCCTGTCATTCACACCATGCTGCAGCTGAGCCCCGAGGAGAAGAGCAAGCTGGCTGCCATCGCTCAAGGTGCGTTACTTCTGTGATTTTGCCCTCCAAGACGAAATCTTTGATTGCCTAGTGTACATGTTCATGCAGCGAACGGTGAAACGCTCAAGGCTGAGTAACAGCAGGTCAGACTTCATGACATCAGCACACGTGTGAATGAAGACTGGCTTTGTCCGTCTCTATAGTAGAGATCATGCACATTCCCTGTCTATCTGCAAGCCGTCTGCTGGTGTGCCGCTGTGATGTGTGTGTGTGTGTGTGTGTGTGCAGGTGAGGAGGAGTCCGCGGGCTCACGGGGGTCAGGCTGGACATCATATCTGCACAGCTGGTCAGGCATCAGATGAGAGGAGTAACACAGCTAAACATATCAGCAGATCTTCTCTGGGCTTATGCAGCCTTGCTTTCTACTGAGTTACAACTTGTCAGTCCTGATGGGATCTTTTTTTTTTTATCTGGGTTATTGAAGATTATTCTGTGCTGTAAATCATACATAAGAAATGTTGGTCATATTTATCAAATTTTAATATAAATTATATCATTATATCATTTTTCCACAAATTGCCTAATGGTTGTGTTGGTGTTTGTAAATCTCATATCCATGAGAGATTTGAGGTTCATTGAATGAACATTGACGTGAAGGAGTGTAAATACTGGGTTTCAACCTCAGCTGTGTCTGTCAGTCAGAGTATAATCTAATTAAACCACTTTGAAAGCTGTTCCGTTTATTCTTTAAAGTTTCTTAGAAACGAACACTCGATTTAAACTGATCTTAATCCTTGTTCTTTTCATATCTGTTGTGCGTTAATGCGTGCCGCAAGTTAATTTACTACTACTGCTGAGATTTTGCATCAGATGGACACTCTTCTAATCCGTACCTATGGAAACTAAGGGAAATGTGCCGAGAAACAGGCAAAGAATCTAAACTCAAAGCACCTAAACAACACCGATGATACGTTACACACACTCTGTGGTTAAAATCATCCAGGCGTTCACAAACTCCACCCACTGCCAATCTGGGTAACACTTTATAATAACTTTCATTAATAAATCATTAACGAGCATTATATGATGCTTAATGGATCATTAGTTAATATATATTCAAAGAGTTAGAAACGTGAGATAATGTGCTTGTTAATGTTTGCTAATAAACTTATTAAACAATGGATAATGTTCAAACAAATCATTATTTCATGTAAGTTAGAATACTTACAGATGTCATTAAACTTTCAGTTCCATGTGATCAAGCACTTATTGAGAATCTACAAGTGATTGTAACATATTATAAAATGATGAAAAGATTGTGCTGCTATTGGGGTGTGATACGGGTTAGGTTAGGTGAGGTTAGGGACCGGTTTGGTGAGGTTAGGGACAGGTTTGGTGAGGTTTGGTGAGGTTAGGGACAGGTTTGGTGAGGTTAGGGACAGGTTTCGTGAGGTTAGGTGAGGTTAGGGACAGGTTTGGTGAGGTTAGGGACAGGTTTCGTGAGGTTAGGTGAGGTTAGGGACAGGTTTGGTGAGGTTAGGGACAGGTTTCGTGAGGTTAGGTGAGGTTAGGGACAGGTTTGGTGAGGTTAGGGACAGGTTTCGTGAGGTTAGGTGAGGTTAGGGACAGGTTTGGTGAGGTTAGGGACAGGTTTCGTGAGGTTAGGTGAGGTTAGGGACAGGTTTGGTGAGGTTAGGGACAGGTTTCGTGAGGTTAGGTGAGGTTAGGGACAGGTTTGGTGAGGTTAGGGACAGGTTTCGTGAGGTTAGGTGAGGTTAGGGACAGGTTTGGTGAGGTTAGGGACAGGTTTCGTGAGGTTAGGTGAGGTTAGGGACAGGTTTGGTGAGGTTAGGGACAGGTTTCGTGAGGTTAGGTGAGGTTAGGGACAGGTTTGGTGAGGTTAGGGACAGGTTTCGTGAGGTTAGGTGAGGTTAGGGACAGGTTTGGTGAGGTTAGGGACAGGTTTCGTGAGGTTAGGTGAGGTTAGGGACAGGTTTGGTGAGGTTAGGGACAGGTTTCGTGAGGTTAGGTGAGGTTAGGGACAGGTTTGGTGAGGTTAGGGACAGGTTTCGTGAGGTTAGGTGAGGTTAGGGACAGGTTTGGTGAGGTTAGGGACAGGTTTCGTGAGGTTAGGTGAGGTTAGGGACAGGTTTGGTGAGGTTAGGGACAGGTTTCGTGAGGTTAGGTGAGGTTAGGGACAGGTTTGGTGAGGTTAGGGACAGGTTTCGTGAGGTTAGGTGAGGTTAGGGACAGGTTTGGTGAGGTTAGGGACAGGTTTCGTGAGGTTAGGTGAGGTTAGGGACAGGTTTGGTGAGGTTAGGGACAGGTTTCGTGAGGTTAGGTGAGGTTAGGGACAGGTTTGGTGAGGTTAGGGACAGGTTTCGTGAGGTTAGGTGAGGTTAGGGACAGGTTTGGTGAGGTTAGGGACAGGTTTCGTGAGGTTAGGTGAGGTTAGGGACAGGTTTGGTGAGGTTAGGGACAGGTTTCGTGAGGTTAGGTGAGGTTAGGGACAGGTTTGGTGAGGTTAGGGACAGGTTTCGTGAGGTTAGGTGAGGTTAGGGACAGGTTTGGTGAGGTTAGGGACAGGTTTCGTGAGGTTAGGTGAGGTTAGGGACAGGTTTGGTGAGGTTAGGGACAGGTTTCGTGAGGTTAGGTGAGGTTAGGGACAGGTTTGGTGAGGTTAGGGACAGGTTTCGTGAGGTTAGGTGAGGTTAGGGACAGGTTTGGTGAGGTTAGGGACAGGTTTCGTGAGGTTAGGTGAGGTTAGGGACAGGTTTGGTGAGGTTAGGGACAGGTTTCGTGAGGTTAGGTGAGGTTAGGGACAGGTTTGGTGAGGTTAGGGACAGGTTTCGTGAGGTTAGGTGAGGTTAGGGACAGGTTTGGTGAGGTTAGGGACAGGTTTCGTGAGGTTAGGTGAGGTTAGGGACAGGTTTGGTGAGGTTAGGGACAGGTTTCGTGAGGTTAGGTGAGGTTAGGGACAGGTTTGGTGAGGTTAGGGACAGGTTTCGTGAGGTTAGGTGAGGTTAGGGACAGGTTTGGTGAGGTTAGGGACAGGTTTCGTGAGGTTAGGTGAGGTTAGGGACAGGTTTGGTGAGGTTAGGGACAGGTTTCGTGAGGTTAGGTGAGGTTAGGGACAGGTTTGGTGAGGTTAGGGACAGGTTTCGTGAGGTTAGGTGAGGTTAGGGACAGGTTTGGTGAGGTTAGGGACAGGTTTCGTGAGGTTAGGTGAGGTTAGGGACAGGTTTGGTGAGGTTAGGGACAGGTTTCGTGAGGTTAGGTGAGGTTAGGGACAGGTTTGGTGAGGTTAGGGACAGGTTTCGTGAGGTTAGGTGAGGTTAGGGACAGGTTTGGTGAGGTTAGGGACAGGTTTCGTGAGGTTAGGTGAGGTTAGGGACAGGTTTGGTGAGGTTAGGGACAGGTTTCGTGAGGTTAGGTGAGGTTAGGGACAGGTTTGGTGAGGTTAGGGACAGGTTTCGTGAGGTTAGGTGAGGTTAGGGACAGGTTTGGTGAGGTTAGGGACAGGTTTCGTGAGGTTAGGTGAGGTTAGGGACAGGTTTGGTGAGGTTAGGGATAGGTTTGGTGAGGTTAGGGACAGGTTAGGTGAGGTTTGGTGAGGTTAGGGACAGGTTTGGTGAGGTTAGGGACAGGTTAGTTGAGGTTAGGGACAGGTTTGGAGAGGTTAGGGACAGGTTTGGTGAGGTTAGGGACAGGTTAGGTGAGGTTAGGGACAGGTTAGGTGAGGTTAGGGACAGGTTTGGTGGTGTGGGTAGGTTTAAGGGTTGGTTAAAGGGTCAACAGTGTACAGGGGTCAATCTGATTATTATAAGGGAACACGGTTCAATCTGCTTATATTATATTGTTTTGAGAAATGAAGTAGTTTCCCCGTTTATTTATGATTCAAGGAATATTCTGTTTAATGATATACTGAAGATAGTATACTAACATGAGTGTTGAGGTGATAAAAAAATTTTTTGCTCCAAAATTACAATCTGTTATGTCTTTAGGAAGCATTTAGCTAAACTTAACCAGCCATCCTTTACACAAACCCTGTTCCATTAGCTAAAAGTCCAATACCCATAAAGATACCGATTAGTAATCATTTATAAATGAATGTCACTTTAGTTCACTGTAAAAATAATACAGTAAAAATGCAAACCACTTTACAGTACAACCTGTAAATATTAAAGTTTAAAACTTATTTACAAAAACAGCCATTCTCTGCTTAATTAGCATAACCATGCTCTTACTAAATTGTGTTTTATCCTTTAATACATACTGACAGCCAGCAAGATAACACCGATAGTGAAGAGAGAACTGCATGAAGAATCAGTTCATCAGTGTTTCCACAAGCTGAGGAGACTAATATACGGACCGTGTCAGAAACACAAAACACACTACAATAATGCTATAAACCTCCATGCAACAACATAAGATGTGACGTCAAACCCTCATGTACATAAGACGAAATTAAAAAGAAACAATTATTTAAATGTCCTGTTAGATCTATTACAGTTTTCCACTGTATATAGTAAGGGAGAGAGAACCATTAGGTTTTTACTGTAGTATTTTTTCTGTTAAAGGGGTCGTATGATGCGATTTCAATTGTTCCTTTCTCTTTGGAGTGTTACAAGCTCTTGGTGCATAAAGCAGATCTGTAAAGTTGCAAAGACTAAAGTCTCAAATCCAAAGAGATATTCTTTATAAAAGTTAAGAGTTAACCACGCCTACCTAAAACGGCTCGTTCTAACACGCCCCCACATGTCTACGTCACTATGTGGGAAGATTTGCATAACGCCGCCCAAATGTTCACGCAAAGAAAGAAGGTGTAACTTTTATTCTCGCTGTAGTATTGTTGTTGCCGCTGCCGCCATGTCGTGAAGACGCTGTGTGCTTCGTTGTGAAAGCGAAACTACTTTGTTTGGTCTTCCAAAAGAGGACGATATCCGCTTCGTCATGCCTAGAGCTGATCTGTGCTGGTCGCTGAGGGAATACATCAACTTAGTGCTGTGGA